GATTTCCATCCCATTTCATTTTATATGTTATACCAACTAAAAGTATCAATATCGTCTAGAAAAATTTAGTATGGGTTTCCTATAAAAGTATGGGATTTTATGAACTCATTACATTGAAATTCAGTGATAATAGAAAACGTTTAGAGAAAGTAATGAAATATATGAAAAGGAATATCAAAACTGGGCACATCCAGTAATTATTTAGTAAAACAATGTTACACAATGTTGGTACTCTCAGTACATATATGGTTAACTATGATATGATAAATCCAGACATTAAAAAAAAATTGTATTGCAACTTTCTCATATTAGCTACCAAAGAAATAAAAATCATGTATATACAACTCTTCCAATATTTCAGAGGTTGCAATGAAGTGAATAAATTATAGTATTTTCTGAAGAAATGTAAGATTTATAAATTAATATACGTTTCCATTATGATTTGGATATTGAAACTTGAAATTAATCAATTTCCTACCTGCAATAGCTTGCTACCATAACACACCATCAAAAACAAAAATATAACGGAACCACATATTGGAATCACAGAACACGGAAAACAAAGTATCAAGTGTCTAAAGACAACTACGGTTTTTCATGCATTTCAGTAAATGAGCCTTGTCAGATAAGCTCTTCATTTTAACAGTACTGATAAGAGTGATGGGACATCTTCAGATGATTCGCCGTTTTTGGCAGTTTTTTAACGTTGAAAAATATTAAATCAATAGGTAGAATTGAAACCTCTGGCGTAAAATAATTACAACCAAAGTGCTTGTCTCGAAGCGCGTTTCGCTAACCAAGTTAGTATTATTAGGAGAGAACTGAAACTCGCCTTTCGCTAACCAAGTTTGCATCATCAAAAGATGACTAAAACTCGGAGTCACCAGGAGATGACAAAACCCGGAATTTTAGTCATCTACTGATTAGCGAAAGGCGCGTCGAGACAAGTCACCAAATTGTTCTCAGTAAACGTGAACGTAATCTTGTAGAAAGACAAAAATTCTTGCAGGTGGGGTCTTTCAAACATGAATTTTGACTATGTTAATCATTTTCGACAGAAGAATTTCCTAACCCACACCCAAAAATTTCATTGGATCAGGAAGTTTAGATGGAACATGTTATACAAGGAGGCAGTGTGCTGACTTCGATGGAATTGGATCTACGAGCTGTGCAAACGGCATAGGAGTATGCTGTGTCAGTAAGTGATTTGGTATTGAAATAGAATTATTGTCATGTTATCAGCGTTCAAGTAAATTTCACTAGTTGGGACTTCCATTGTCTACTATATAAAATGATTTGAAATCCCTGAAACAACTAAAAAAGAAGAATTAAAAATGAATAGCTGAAAATAACAATTCTATTAACCAAAATAAACCTGAAATGAAATAGTAGTGAATTAAAATACAAGTCAAAATAGAACAATAAAAATGAAAGAATGAAAAAGGAAAATAAAAATAAAAAGTGGAGAGATTCCAAGTCATATTAGTTCACGATGTTTCGATTGTTAATATCTACAATCGTTTTCCGGTGATGACTGGACTGATTCCTCCGAGAGATGACTATTTATAGGTGGTTCGAGTACTTTCACTTATCCCCGCTTTCCATTTTCCGCTTCACTGGTTTCGTGGGAGATGACTGTTTGGCGGGAGTTGGCCATTTTTCGCTTGATGATGGGTTTCCATATGTTGCGTATTTCTACGCTGGCTTGGATGAATACGTTGTTGGACAACATGTAAGCGGCTTCCTTGAATTTTCTCCTAAACCAATGTTCCTCTCTGTGCAAGATATCAGCTTTTGACCACTCGATGTTGTGTTGATGGATCCAAACATGATCTGCTATTCCTGATGCTGCTACGGATAGTGTTGCTGGATCTGAATCAGGTTCTGATGTTGTACTTGGAACCAATTCTTCTAATCATCTCCGATAATCCTCTGATGTAGGGAAGTGCAGCACTGGTTGTGATAGTTTCTCTTCCTTGCGAGGCTCCTGCTGTCTTTTAGCCAAGGACTTTTCTACCATCGCTTTGGAGTAGCCATTTCGTTGAAGATCATTTTTGATGATGTCTGGTTCCTTTTCGAGACCTTCCTTCGTGTTATAGAGCCCGAAAGCACATATCATAAATGCACGATGAACTGTGGCTGCTCATCGTCTTGAGGATCAACTCAGTACACCTCAAACTCCACTGATTAAGAACTCTTTCATCTGGATAACTTCGTTTAAGTGGAATAAACTACCTGAAAACGTGTTTCCAAATGAATTTAATCTTCAGTTATTCAAATCCAATGTGAATGTCCTATCCATTTATTGAATTGCCCCACTTATGAACAAATTTGAAAAACTATATCAACCTAATGGAATCATTTTTATGCTCAGAAACTTTCTTTATAACGGTGGCGGCATCCGATACTGAATAACTATTCTTTTAAAACATTACTCTATTTTGATGAGGAACAAATAGTCAAATAGGCAAAAATTTCCAAGAAACTTTTCATAACGTTCATAACGCTTTTCCTCTCTCTGACTTCGGAAGTAATATCATCCAAACATCAGAACTGCAATACTTTCCTCGACGTTTCACCAAACAAGTTAGCGTCTTCAGGAGATGAAGAAAACTGACAATAAACATAAACATATACTTCATGTCGTGAAATCGCAAACTTGGTTGGTGAAACGCCACTTTGAGAAGAGTATAAGAGTATCTGGCGTTTGGGAGAAGTGCTCATTTTGAAACTATTTCGTTCTCCATAGTCAATCGGCTTTACGTCACTGAGTACATCATCAACATTTACTGACTGAGTTCTAGATACTATTATTACTATCATTATAAAAAAGCACATGTAGTTTATGAGCAATGTCGAAGGACAGTGGGACGCGCATGGAGTCTCTCACCTCGTGTGGTCACCTGGATCTACACTGCAATAATAAGGCCTATGTTAATGTACGGGGCATTGCATGGGGACCGAAAGTTCTACAAGCAACGGCAATCCAAAAATTATGTCGAATACAGCGACTGGCTTGTTTAAACATCACAGGAGCCATGAGAACAACACCAACCGTGGCAATGGAATTATTGACGGGTCTGACCCCTCTGGATCTGTACGTTAAGGAGGTTGCGGTAATGACCATGTCACGATTGCGCAAGGTTGGTGTGAACCTCGAAGTAGAAATGGGTCAATTGAGGCTGAGCCTATGGCGAGAAGGGCTTACTGCGCAGGCAACCAGTGATGCCATTGAACCCAGGTTTGTGTTCAATAAACCCTACAAAGAACAAATAAAACAGAACACAGATTCATATGCTACTAATGCTAAACGCATATATACAGACGGCTCAAAAACCAAAGAAGGCTCAGGATGTGGAGTGTACTCCAGGTCACTGAGCCGAAGGATTAAGTGGGGAATGGGAAAAATACCAGCGTGGTCCAAACAGAACTGGCTGGTATCTCAATCGCCTCAAAAGAAATAACTAGAAAAGGAATTTCTGGCAAAAACCTAACAATCCGCACTGACAGCAGACAAGCCCTATTAGCCTTGAACAGACAACGTGTTACCTCAGGGCTAGTACTAGAGTGCCACCAAGATTTAGCCAAAGCCTCGGTAGAAAATTAGGGATACGACAGGTGTAAAGGTAATCGCATTGCCGACTCTTTAGCCAAGGAAGCGGCTGGACTACGAATTTAAGACCCAGTGGCACCTACGGCCTGATGATTTCGACATTGCGAAACTAGCCAAATGTTACACCCATGCTCAATCCCTAAAGAGATGGGATGGAATCAAAAGATGCAATCTTGCCAGGATCACCCTGGACGACCCTGGGAAGCTGGCGCCGAAGAAATAGCTGGCGATGACCAGGAGAAATCTACGCTTAACAGTAGGATTTCAGACTGGCCACTGTCAACTAAAGAAACACCTCCATGATATGGGACTAGTGGACTCACCCCTATGCAGGATGTGTAAACAGGGATTTGAAATTGTCAGTCATGTCCTATGCGAGTGCCCGGAGTTATCGTCAATAAGAGAGTGTGTGTTCGGCGAGTCTTGGCCTACGCCTGCCGATATGAAGGAGATGTCTCCCAGTGACCTGTCCACCTTCCTGGAAAGAACAGGATGGACGATGATCTAGGAGGTCAACTCCTCGGGAGAATGTACAATGGGTCACGTGTGGCCTGAGAGCTGTGGGCTTACACTCACCCTCCCTACTCTACAGATACATTATTATATGTCTACAATCATTGATGAAATTTTTGGCATCTGATTTGTGTATAGGACACACCTAACAAATCAATAAATCAGTGGTAGATCAATAATATCCTCAATCGATGATACATCAATGAGAATAGTAACAATGCAGGACAGTTTATCTATTTTAGAATTTTTCATAACCAGCTAGCGCCGTAGTCTAGGCATACAAATAATTTTTATTCATCAATGATGAATATATATATATTCGATTTGAGCAACTATTTAGTAGATATTTGGGTAATGCTCATCAGATAGGAACCAAGCGACATTTTTGAGAAAATGAGTTTATGGCACTTTACGACACATAAGTACTCTGGTCATGTTTCGGAACGGAAACAAGCGACAGATGGGTATTAACGATTGAAAAATAACCTTGCACTGGGAACTAAGTGGATCATTACAAATACAGAATAAATCAGAAAGGATCTAAACGCCTGGTTCCGATTAGATATTCAACGAAACGAGTAGCAACATCGCTTGGACTCCTCCGTGTTTGTGACTTGGATCTCTTCCGATCATTGTTCACTTTCTAGTTACACTGTCGGTTAGTTTCGATCATAATCGTTCACAAACTTAGTTTTCTATAATAGGCAACTCTGGCTGTACAATGAAGGTGTCCACTGTGGAAAAAATTGATACTGCTTCGAATTGAAAAAGGGGACAGAAAGTTGGATCTGTACTAAAGAAGTTTATTGAAAATCATCTCGGTCCAAACACAAAAACGTTGATAAAGTGGTCAGATAGTTGCGAAGGACAGAATCGCTAAATTGAGATAGTTTTAATGATGAAAACAATTCTCAGCAATCATCAAACTTCAGAAACAGTTCATTTCAAGTATCTAGTACCGGGCCACAGCTTTCTACCAAATGATTCAGTTTTTTTGTTTACTGAAAAAGCAATAAAGATGAATCAAAGGATTTATACTAGCGATGAATATATAAATATAAGGAAGCATTGCCGACATTAAAAACCATTGACTGTAATAGAAATGATGAAAGAAGACTTTTTTATGTACAAGCAATAGAACGTGCAGTAATAAAACAAGACTAGTTTGATCAACTCACTTGTCATAGAATCCTGGATATGAAGAGAAAAAATAACTAGCAATACCAAACTAGAAGTTTTCAGATTCATCGTTCACTTCTGCCACTTCACTAATCACTAGACAAACCTCAGAGCAATCCAACGATTCAGTATTTTAGGGTGCTAATTGCATTTTGTGATTATTGACACCGTTACGTTCAAAGTGTATATAAGAATATGGAGGTATTCGTTCGAAATACAAAAGAATTAGGTCTGTATTTATACGGGGTGGATAAAAATGATCCTCAGTGTTGAAATAATTGTGGTACATAACTTCTTAATGATATTCAACGACAAAAAGTCCTCAAAACTGCTTATGAAGTCATCAGTGTTATACAATGAAAACTGTGTAAACTGCTAGCAGTGATGGTTTGACAGCCAAAATGTTAAAATTTATCGCGCATCAAAAAGCAGAAACTCTAGTTTACATTATCAATAAATCTATTAGATCATGACAAAACCCTTCAGACCTCAGAAGTGATTTCAATCAACAAAAATTGTGACAAATCACCAGTGAGTAATATCCAATTTCGTTAATTACATGCTGCAACTAATTTTTTTTAAATTCCATTCGAATCACAATAAAAAATTGTACACACTTCCGTGGGATACGCAATTTAGCTTCAAGAAACACGACACTTTCGCGGACAAGGTTTTCAGTGTCACTTTCAGGGTTTGAAGGCCATATTAACCGAGTAACAGCGAAACGTCAGGAAGAAATTTAAAAAATCCACGACCCTCATACCCGGAAAATAGTGACACAATCGAAAGCATATTTGACTGATAGTAAACAGTGCGTATACAGAGCGAATAGAGAATGAAAAAGTATGGGGTACCACATTGAACAGTGCTGGAACTGATTCTCTGTTCATTAT